ACCACCACCACCACCACCACCACCACCAACACCAACACCACCACCACCACCACCACCACCAACAACAACAACAACAACAACAACAAAACGACAACGACAACGGCAACGGCAACGGCAACGGCAACGGCAACGACAACGACAACGGCAACGGCAACGGCAACGGCATCGACATCGACAACGACAACGACAACGACAACGACAACGACAACGACAACAACAACACCAACACCACCAACAACAACACCAACAACAACAGCAACAGCAACAGCAACAACAACAACAACAACAACACAACCACAACAACCACACCACCACAACAACCACACCACCACCACCACCACCAACAATAACAACAACAACAACAACGACGACGACAACAACAACAACAACAATGACAACAATGTTTTGGGGATCACTTGGATCTAGGCATGTTCAGACCAGTCTGGAAAACATTGTTTTTTTTTGGTTTCTTTGGGTTTTTGATTCCTTAAGATGAATCCAGATTGATCCAGATTATACAGTAGAAACCAAATCTTTTTCATGTTGCCTCCAAGGCATGTTTGTCAAGTACGTATTAAAAAATATATTGTATACTAAACATGCGCAGTATTCCTTGGGGATGTGCAATTTTCCTTTTCAGGTGTGAAACCTTTGGGAATGTAAAATTATGTTTTTGGTGAAGGAAACCATTCCTTCAAATAAATGGTGTTCCTGTCCCACTAGAGCGCAACTGGAGTTCTTTGAAAGGAGTGCTACATATTTACAAAAAGAAATGGTGTGATTGACAGGATTGTTACATATTTTCAATTCATGGTGTAACTTCCAAAAAAGGCAGCTGATTCAATTTTTTTTGTTAGTAAAACATTTCCTTCAAACAAATCGTTTTCCTTCCAAACAGGTGGCAACTGGGTATCTTTGAAAGGAGCGTTACATTTTTTAAAAGAAATGGTGGTATTTTCAAACATAAAGGCCAGCTGAACTTCTTTGAGAGGAATGTTACCTCTTTAAAGGACACACTGCATATTTTGACACAACATTGTTTCTGTTGTTTAAACTAAACGGTTTAAATACGATTGCAACTTTAAGTTAAGTATTCAATTTTTGAAGAAAACAACATCTGCCTGAAGGAATGTTACCATGATAAAGGAAGAGGATGGGAATACTGTACTTTAGAACGCAATACACATCGTAGATAACACATATTAAAAAAATCCAACCTTCACAAAAAAAATCTTCCTGAAAATACATTTGACTAGCTCAAAAGCAACCACCAGCTTGTAAATGACAACAACTTTTTTGTTGAAGTGGATGCTTTGTAAGGAAAACTGCACTTTTTTGAAAAACCTCATTTCTTCAAAGCATTGTTTGCTGGGAATGTAGCACAGAAATGCAACTTAATAGACTATATGCATATATTTCTCTTTGGGCAATGAAAGCAAGTGAAAAAAACAGCATTGCCTGATATTGTTTGCAATTTTGCCTTTAACTTTAGCTGTTGGATTTTCTTTGGTCAACTGCTGCACTGCGCAGCTCAAACTCATTCAACATTATTATGTACTTCCACACCTGTTTGAAAACACCAGGGAGTTTCCTTAATTTTCCAGCTGAAATAGGCCTTGTAGATGAATTAAGGTTGTGTTTCAAAGACTACCTATTTTTTCAAAATAATGTGGTATTGTACCACAATTATGGAAACATGACGGTAGTGTATCCCAAGGTTTCAAACCAATATATTTCCATTTTTCATGATGTTTGCCAAAGAAGGATCCAATATATAACTAATGTTTATGAGAAGTGCATGACCTGCACTTATCCACTGAAATCTTGCATTTTATGTTACATACATATTCTGTTGCACCTGATGCTTCAAAGTGGAAATATATCGTGTTTTCTCTTCTAGGGTGGAATTTCTTCGTGGAATTTGCCACATTTTGAACCTAATGACTGCCATTGTTCTAAAGGAGTGCATTTTACAGCTGAATATGTGTTTTTCTCTGGGTCAGGCCTCCTCCTTTTAAACATCCTATTTGATTATGACCATTTCCCAAAGGATACAAGAACATGAGGAAAGCCTACTTTCCAATCTTTCCAGCGCTGGCAACAAGCCCCTCCCTTTTAAAACGACATGCAGGTGTGGGCAATCTTTTTTCAGATTGGCGAGGCGTTGCATCACATGCACAGGTGGGTGCATGATGTGCATCTGAAAACTCATTTGAGCATCGTTGTTTTATGGGTCATTTTTCTTGGCAGAAGCTTAGATTGCATTGTTGGAGCTTGGGAGTCTCCATTTTGTTTGTTCGACCAGGCAGCGGATAATGCACCGAGACATCAAACCAGAGAACACCTTTCTGTGCACCCGCCTTGGGCTCCCACACTTGTGAGAGTGAACATGGATGAAAGATGAAAGTTGGCAAAAATTACAGTAATGATTGTTTTGCTTGTAGTTCTTGTAGTTGCCGATAAACTTTGCATCTGCTTCTTTTTGCCGTGCCAGTGGAATCTCGCTGCTCTGCAGTTCTGCAGGTCAACGAGGTGTTGTGAAGTTGGGCGATCTGGGTCTTGGAGCCTTGGCTGCCGTGCATCAGTGTGGCAACATGTGGGCAACTCTCGATTTCTCACAGAATTCCGAAATGACATGAAATGACATGAAATGACGATATGGCAGAAATGACCAATTCTTTTCTGAGTGAAAGATGGCAGGGCGGGTTGCAGAATGTTGCAGATGTTTGCCGCCAGCGGGGTGTGGCAAACCTATGCAGACGTCATGGGGCCGATTGAGGCCGCTTTTTTGGTTCCAATACGTACAAAGCCCACTCCGTGGTTGGAACTCCGTTTTATATGTCTCCAGCTGCTCGGACGCCTTAGACCGGCTTGATTATTTTTTCAGACCAATTCAGTCTTCTGATTTTGTCCTGCGCCATCCTGGAATACGAGTAAAACAAACCCCTCACCTGAAAGACTCTGAGAGAACGTGGAAGAGCCTGAAAGTATGCATCTACAGCAGAGCGCAAGATTCTCACGTCAATTCAGCCGCTCTTGTGACCGGCTTTGGTCGTTGCTTCCAAGGAAGTCATATCTGCCGCTCGGAGCAAGCGTAGTGGGTAGATATTGCGCATTTCCGCTGGTTGCAAAACGGCATCGACCAGGGATACGCATCATGAGATGCTGGCAAAGAATGCCACAGTCAGCTGCACATTGATGTAATGCGATGTGTTAGACAGCCGTACACTGTCTCAATGTAAATGTAAGGACTCTGGTGGCTATTCATTCAAGTCAGATGCTTGGAAGCACATCTTATGCCTTTTGATGTCCCGCACGAGTTGTAAGCTGCGCTTGCTGCAAAGTCTGTAGCGACACTGCTGCAAGCCTCCTTGGTTATGCCATCTTAGGCAACCACAAGCAAACGGCATTTTAACTTCGTAAGTAAACTGAAATTTGTCAGAAGCGGACGGCAGTTTCAAAGAAGGTATCTGCATGGCAAGATAGGTGCTTAATTTCTGCTTCAGGACATTTGGAGCATGGGCTGCGTCCTGTATGAACTCTACATGCTCAGAAGCCCATTTGCCGGTCCTGGCATGAACTACTACATGCTCGGTCACAAGCTCCTTAGATTTGTTTATGACTTCTGCCACACTTCTGTCCACTGTGTTTGTCACTGTTCACTGCTGGGGCCCTCCAAGCACGATTCTGCAACTGAAGTCGGAGTACCTATGCGAAGGCGCAGCAAGACATGCCGTGCACACCACATCTCAACATATCTCACGACATTTTAGCAGTCTGCAACAGTGCAAGCTTTTGGATCCAAAATGCGTCTCGATTTATTACACCCATATGTATGATTATATTGTAAATAGAGACGCAAAAATTAACAATAAACACAATAAATAATGCATAAATAATAACTACATAAATAAATGCACACAGACACACACACACACATACACACACACATAAATCATATGTAAATTATATAAACATAAATTTAATATATATATATATACATAATATAACATAACATCATATAATATAATATAATATAATACAATATAATATAATATAATATATACTATATACTATATACACGAATGTGTTTGTTCTTTTTTTTGAGGATCAACCGCGCAGAGTATCCGCCTCTTCCAGCAGAAGCGTCTCAGCGTGTAGCGAAGCTCTGTTCAGAGATCCTGCAGGTGGAGCAGGATGTGCACGACCTCAGACGCCGATTTTGATGAAGTTGTCCTTGAAGTCCGTAAACTCTTTAACTTACGTAAACTTACACAGTTGTCCTTAGAACTTGTCCATATTATATGTATTGATTCAGATTGTCCTCATAGTGGACTATTGTCCACTTTCATGCTCCCTTCCATGTTTGAACTCACTGGCTCTGAAACTTTGATGCTTGCAACTCTGGCCATGCCAATCTGTTTGAGGATATCATGGTGACCTGCTAAACTGAGGCAAGACCGGACAGTGCTGCCATATGTGCTCTTGCAGGGAAGTACCTGAATGTACCTTGGTTGGCTCTCAAACTGCAAGACTCTAGACGGATGGAAGATGTAAACATCTCACCCGCATTTTCCAGCAATGTGCCTGACACAGCCACATATCGTCACATCAGCCACAACACAAAAAGAGAGAATTATTTCCCCCACCACACTGCAGCTTCGCACAGCTGTACAAAAACCAGCTGAGAAATGCCTGGTGATGCATCCAACGGAAAAGCTGGTGGTTCCAGAAGGCAGGCTAAACGGCCTGTTCTTGAAACCGGTCTGAAAGTATGGCACGAGCAGCAGAAATCTCATTTTTCCATACCTTGAGAGCTTGCATTGCGAAGCAAGCTCAAGTTGAGAGCAACCTTGCGTGAACCTTTCAACTCACCCGTGGGTAGTTCTTTTGAGCGTTTGAGAGCTTTCTTTTCCTTGCAGACTCTGGCCTCATGTAGGATGTTCCTTTGATGATCCGCAGATGATTAGCCAGTGTCTCTCGCAAGCAGCGCAGGTGCTTTGGCTTGCTTTAGCCACCTTGACGTGAGACTGTTAGACCAACGACATTGACACCCCATCCCCCATCAACCTTCCAAACCATCGTACTATTGACTAGTGCACTCTTGTTAGGCTCTTTCCATTGTGATGAAATTCCTAGTCCTGAGCCCCATATTAATGTGCTAGCTGAGCCCCTGAAACAAGGAAAGTTCGGGTTGACATGATGAATTTGGATTTGCTTCGTTCAGCCATTTAGCAGCAGAGTTGGTCTTTGAAAGGTCGTTCTGGAGTTGCTGCACAATTCTGGCAGTCCGCGGCCACCACGCTCCCCTCCAAAGGGGCAGGAATGGAGATTGTTTGTGATTCCCTTGATGCCAATTTTTTGGTGCTTTTGAAGAGATCTAATCATGCCTTTCTTCACCTTGCTTTGTCCATGGTTATCGGATGTTATCGGTTTGATTTCTGCAGGTCCTCCATGCGTGGAACTGTGTGATTGCGTCTAGCACGACTTTTCTCAGGACATTCACCCTCCAGCAGTCCCAAGACCTGCTGCTGGGCTTGAGATTGTCAGCATGTTGGTCTATGACGGTCGATGTTTGCATTGAATGGCATTGATATCCTATGATGCTTTTGTCATATTTGGTTATCCTGTAGGATTTTGGTAAGGGGCATTTTGCTCAACTTGTTGTTTCAGAGGTGCTGAGTGTGTCTGAGTGCGAATATGCTGCAGCCACAGTTGGTAGACTAGGGAAGCTGATGAGGGCAGTTTTTGGTCTACCATATGGGCTCGCTTTTCAACTTTATTTGTTCTATAATTTGTTCTAGTCTCCTTCAAGAGGGGATTGCACAAGGAGAGACCCCGCGGAGGCTACATCTCTGTGGACAACAGGCGACGGAGTTGAGATGCATGCAGCCCTATCCCTATTCATTGGATTGAACATTGTGTCAGTTCATTGCTGCATGGTAGCAAGTGAGCATGCAGTATATCACAGTATATCAGGCACAGTCAGACACCTTTTCCCTTGACCCAACTCGTGTGTACGGTTTAGATCTCAAACCTGACAAACTCACCTGACCTTCATCCTGCTTAGATTTCTGCTGCCTCTGAACAGGACGAGTTCCAGAGACTTCACTTTACTTTCCAAAAGAAAATGAATTACCAGTTGCGTCAATATGCACCAATCCATGCAGATGGCATAACTTGAGTCGAGGGAAGAGGTTCTCAGATTCAAGCACGCTACAACCACCAGGAATCTTACCATTACATTGAAGTTTTTGATAGTTTTTGTTGTTTTTTCCAGGTAGCCGCCGGTAGCACGCACGAGTAGAGCACATGCAAGAATGACACATGGTGGCGGCACAGCACGAAAGGCATGTGGTATATATATATATATATTACATATATACTTACATATATAATTACGTATATAATATGCATTTGTTTGGAACATATGTTTCTATATACCAATTACAAATCCAAAAGATAGGGCTGAGCCTGTCTCGTGCCGTTGCAGAGACGATGATCTTTTTCTGGTTCGCAGCGCTGTGAGGCGGTTTCCAAGTACAGCTCTGGAGCCATTGGCCACGGGTACTGCGCACACCAGGTGAGATCAGATGGCAATCTCCTTGCCTTGCCGAGGGCAGAGACACTGCAGCGCAATGCGGCGCACAAAGAGTTCGTTTGGCAAGGGTTCGCAAGTAAGAAGTAAGAGCGTACAAGTGTCCCGAAATGTGCAAGGCAAAGTAAGGGGACATGCTTGAGCCTTCATGTCAAGTAGAGGCATGCAAAAGTAATTGCAAGTTGTCTTCATGCTTTACATGCATACGCACTTGTTTCTTCCTCTGTGTTTGCATACATATCCACAAAGTTCCACATACACAGACCTTGGTGTTGTTGGTGAATTCCCTGAGTTGATCTGGCATTCCACATTGATCTACATTAGTCTGGATTCGAATTGTCACAGAATGTCACAGACATTTATGTTTGACACTTGTGGATCCATTGGCCCCGCCGTCCTCGCCCATGCTTTCACTGCTCTGGAGTTTACGCCAGGTCTGAGGACGCTTTCAAGCCGCCGGTTGTTGCACCAGGTCGCGCACGCTCGCCACGGACATTGTTGCGCCACGCCTGAAAACATTTTTTGGATGAATGTGATCAACATTTGATGTACATCATACATGTGATACATGCCATACATGTCATACATATCATACATGTCATAATACATGTCATAATACATGTCATAATACATGTCATAATACATGTCATAATACATGTCATAATACATGTCATAATACATGTCATGATACATGTCGTACACATATCATACATCTCATAATTTTCTACATCTCATACTTTTGATACATCTCATACATGCATGCATACCATGCCATGCCACGTCATTCCATTGCATTCCATTGTGTTCATTACGCTACAGGACACTGCAACACTTTCACGTATATATATATATATTATATTATATATAGGAGTACCGTTTATTTTTATATGTTGGTGATGCTGGGTGACAACTCAGAAATGAACCGGATCTGAATGAGTAAGGCCTATTGCACGACAGACTGGCGCCACCTTGCCACAAAGCTCGCGGGACACGCCGCATCGAGGTGGAGCGGGGTCAAGCCTGGTGAGGTAGTGATATGACACGATATGACGGTGTGTTGATGGGTGTTGTGATTGTCTTATGATGGGTCTGATGGGGTTGTGATTGGTATCACATGGTATCACCTTTGTCCCGAGGGCTATCGCTTTGCAGTACTGTAGCCGTAGCTGCCTCCGTGTAAACGGCAAATTACATACCCAAAAGATCACAAGCGTGGCTAGCTAAAGAAGGGAGCATGCGAAATATTGAGATGTAGACAATGAAAAGCAATGAAAATCAATGAAAAGGGATCAAGATTAGCGAAGATGGCAAGCTCTTGGCAGGTGGGTCTCCGCAGGAACGTGGCTTGGGTTCTTCTCAGTCAGCGCCGGCCCGCCCGACCTCGCCACGATTGTGCTATGGCTGCCATATGGCTGCCATGGATTCCGAGAATTGGAGCACTGCAATTTGCGCACCAGTTTGTCCTATAGCAAGCCACCTGTTTGCCTTTCTCAGTGCTTGAGTCATTCGTGCCAGCCAAGGCCATTTGATGATGGTTTTCGCGCACCAGGGCCAGCCCCAAAGAGGTCAGGGCGCGTTCAAAAGATGTCCAAACCAATGTGCAAGGCATGACTCCCCACATTGCATTGTCATTCATTGTGTATGCTATGACCGATTGCACCGCTGGAAAAAAGATGGCAGATAATTCTCTGAGAAGATCTTAGAAAAGCGAAGAGGGCTTCCTTGATGTGGTCTTCTTTACATGATTTTGGATGATTGAAATCCAGGGAAAGTCTGGTCCAAATCCTTCGTGAGCCTTTCTTGGAAGTGTTTAGACCTACGTAGCTTTGATTTTTTTCAAAATCTATGGTGCTTTCAGTGGGTTCACTGCATGACAAGTGTGTTTACAAAATGGAATTTGGAACAACAACCTCCAGGAGTCACAGTGGAGAACTGGGAAAACGTTAGTTTTTTCTAGTTTTTTAGGTTTCTTTCGTTTTTTCCAGTTTTCTTAACATTTGCTAGCTTTCTCTAGCTTGTGTGGCTGCTGACACATCCGTACCAAGTGAAACTAGATTTTAGGCTAGAAAAGTCAGTGCTGATGGGTGAAGCCCTTCGGAACGACCTTCGGAAACACAGGAATATCTTGGAAAAGGGGGAACATATCAGTGCAGCTCGGTGCAGGGTGTGTCAGTGGACTCATTGTGTTTTCTTCAGTTGTTTTCTAGCTTTCTTTAGCCTAGTCTAGTTTTTACTTCGGTTTTGTTAGCCTCAACTAGCCGCATTTTTTTCCTTTATGATTTAGAGCGGACCTGGGCCTGAGTTTCGCAAGTCAGAGGGTAGGCAGCGGTATCTCCTTGGTTCTGGGATTCAACAGACACTGCCAACGCCTGATCGGTCTCTCTCTCTCTCTCTCTTTCTCTCTCTCTCTCTGTGTTAGCTGAACCCAAGGCTTTGTCAAACTATTTTCGGTGCCGAGCCAAACCAAACCTGGCGTTCTACGATGTCTGGTAAGAGTTCCCCATGCCAAAAACTCTATAGTATATACCGACGGCGGTATAGTTGTGCGGGATGTTGGTCTCAGAAAGAGGAGGAGACCAGGAAGGTAATAATGGAGCGGGTGGCACCTACGAAAAAAACACACTAAAAACATATCTAAAAAGTCTAAAAACATGATGTGCACAATGCCGGAAGCGAACTGAGAAAGTCATAGTAATCGTGACAATCACCCAATCCTTTCGGGCCGAGAAGGTTTCAATTCACGAAAGGATTCCCGTTGGTTGACAACAAAGACCCTAATCTAGCTTGCAGGATCCTCGCGCCACTGCGGAGAGCGCCATCACCTCGAACAACACGCCTAGGCTCGAAGTGGGAAAACCAAATGTCCTCCCAGGAGCCTGCGAATTCAGTATACGGCATCATACAGCAATATACAGCATACAGTTGCGTTGCAATAACATACAATAAAAGATATATGATATATGATTAATTGATCACACACAACATACATACGTAGTGTAGACATAGTGTGCAAATAGGTGTAGCAAAGGTTACAGTATGCTATATTACATATAGTATGCCAGTATGCACACTTTGCAACTGTATCCACAAGTGTGTTTCTCCTACCGTTTGTTGATGTTCGTTGTCCCAGCATTACAGCGACGCTGCTTTTATGTGGTTCCGAATCCATTTTTACCTGATTCATTTCTTATGAGCATGCTTGTGGTCAGGTGAGCAGGGGGTGCTCCTGACGCCCCGCGAAAGCTTGACAAGAGCACGCGCAAACCAAAGTGTAGCGTGAAAAGTGGCAGAATGGCAAGGTGATGGTTGAGAGGTGAGGTTGTGCTAGTCACTACATCATTATCGTACATGCATGTATCAACACACTGACCCCCATAATGTAACCCCCTTGGCTCCCGCTGAAAACAAAAGGTTTCTCAGTACTTGCTGCATTCCAGGAAAGACAAAAGGTCGGTGAGGATCCAATTCTCAATTCTCTTTTGTTTTTGGGTTTCGCAAGAAGAAGCATGCACAAGAATTCCACTTGCTCAGATGTTTTTCGGCCCGAATCCCAGAAATTAGATCTTGAAGCAAAAAGTTTCAAGGACACTGTCTGAGCAATCACATTTCAAACGGCAGGATCTCTGCTTGACGAGAGTCATTTATAATTTTACACCCTCTTGAGTTTCCGTGAGTTTTCGTACACCTAACTGGAAGGGCATCCATGCCTATATTTCCAAAAAATCAGGAATCTGGATTGATTGAAAAACATATTCACAAGACAGGCAGGACAAAACGCAAACCTGCTTGTGACCATGGCGCCATCCAACTCGAAGCTTCCTTGGTGCGCAGATCAGTCAGCGGAAACGTGGTTGGAATCTTCGTAAGGTTTCCATGCGTCGCGTGTACCCGCAAGTTCTTCAAGCAGAGCAAGCCGTTCAGCAGCTGCGCTCAGAGATTGAAGAAGCTCAGGCAGAGGCTCAAGAGTGCCGTAGCGAACTCAATGAAAGAACCCATGAGATTCAAGATTTGAGGAGCTCTTTGGGTGCAGTTGAGCGTCGAAAGGCTGTTCGAAGGGATGCAGTTTCAACCCATCGGGCGATGAGTCGGAAGCTTGAAGAAGGGGTAGCCGCAGCTCGATTGGAAGAAGAGCGGTTGTCCGAGCAGCTGCAGATGTATGTGGAGGAGAACCAAGTAGAGCGGAAGCTGTTAGCCAGAGCAGCTGAGGAGCAGCAACGCTTGTTGGAAGAAGCCAAGCACAATGAGCTGATCATTCACGACACCATGCGCCACGCCGGCGGTGTCCAGTTACAGTGCTTGGGGACCAGTGCAGATCTGGAAAATGTAGACAAAGAGAATGATCAATTGCAGAATGAATTGGCAGGAGCTGAATTTCAAAGCATGAGGCAACGCCAATATTTGGCAATGGAAGAGGCTGAAGCGTCCTGCCAATATCACAACACATGTGAAGCCAAAGCTGCCAATGTCGAAAGTCGAAACCAGGTTGATGGCCTACAACAGACTCAAAGATCATTGGAAGCACGTTTGAAGGAGCTTCTGGACGCGATGCATGAAGGAGATGCATTGGATGTTGAGCTCGCCGAAGCTGCAGAGCATGGGGCATCTCTGAAATTCTCCTTGGAGGAGATGGTCCAAATGGTCAGGGACAGAGGAGATGTCCTGCAAGGAGTATGCGGTCATCATGCGGAGCTGCGTCAGATGTTAGAAGAGTCTCAAAGACAGGCGGCCTTGGCCCAAGATGAGGCAAATCAGCTGGCAATTGAGCGAGATGCAGTGCAGTCCCGGTGCCAGGAGGAAGAAGTGGAATTTGCTTCTGCCCAGGCACGAATGTTGAATGCAGAAAGCCAATTACAAAATGAAGAGGCGGAGGCCGATGCAGAGGTCCAAACAAGCAAGGGACAAAAAGCCGCTGCCTCTGAAAAGGTTGACCAATTGCAAGAGAAAACTAGCGCTTTGAAAGCACAGTTGAAGGGTTTGGAGGATGAAACGAAGCATTTGCAGAGCAGGATTGCTTTCTTTGAATCGGACACCAGGAAGCTCTCCGATGAGAACACAAGTATGGAGCAAACCATAGAGCAAGTAAAGAAGAAAATGAATTGCGTCATTTGCTGAGCTCGCTCGGCAAGAAGATCTTGAGACTGCCATGACAATTTGTAGGTTTAGGCTGCCACGTGCAAAGTTGCGATGAGGGCAATGAATAAAAATGCATTCGATTGTCGAATTTGATCCAGTTTCCTAATACTGTTGTCTATTTGGTCTCGGAATAGATCTAAAGGATATCTCAAGCCTAGACTTTATCAGTGTTTTTCTTTTTGTTGTTCTAAATGTAGGTAAAGTGAAGCAGAGACAGAAGCAAGGCATGCCAGAAGGTGTGTTGTCTGATACAACGCGAACTGCGCTGGGCGTCTGCGAAGACCGCAGATGGATTTGAGCGGTGAGGCCGAAAAGAAATGAAAAAACACCGTCGTCAAAACCAGAGGCGGCCAGCCCCAAGGGTGCACGAGATGAATGATTAGATGATCGAAGGAAGTTTAGAAGTCAACTTCTGACCATATGGACAGATGAAAAGCAGAGGTTGAGCAGAAGAATAGAGAAGAGAAGAGCAGAAGAGAGAAGATCAGAGAAGAGAAAGAGTCAGAAGAAAGAAGATGCAGGTGCGCGAAAAGGTAGGAAAGTCACGAAACACTGTGTTTTTCCAATGATTTGTGGTTCCGGAGGGTCGAAAAGTAGACTCGCTAAAGCGGCGGGTGCGGAGCCATCTGGCCAGATGAGAGATGAACAATTGCACGCCGATGTGGCGCGAAGCACATTTCGAAGTCAAAATGCGCAAAACCAGGTTCGGAATGGTTCGGAGCACTGCTGGAGGTTGAGATGTCGAAAAAGTGCACGCCGTTGTGGCGCGAAGCACATTTCCAAGTCAAAATGCACAAAACACACCATTCTCGGACCACTTTTGGAAGTTCAGATTCAGATGTCGAAAAAGTGCACGCCGTAGTGGCGCGGGCACATTTCGAAGTCAAAATGTTAAAAGCACAAGGGGTTCGGACAACTTTTGGACGTTCAGATGTCGTTTCGCGTGGCAGGCGCAGGGGATTGTGCACCTGGTCAAAAGTGAGAAAAATGTGAGGGTTTTGTAGCATTTTCAACTACAACCACCACTACACCACACTACACCGCACTACACTCCAATACACGACACCTTCACTACACCTTCACTACGCCTTCACTACACCTTCACTACATTCCACTACGCTACACTACACTACACTACACTCCACTCCACTCCACTACACTCCACTATACTCCACTACGCTACACTCAATTACATTCACTTACGCTCAATTACATTCAATTAAACTACGTTACACTACGCTACACTACACTACACGACATTCCACTACACAACACTACATTACGCTACACTACACTACAGTACAGTACAACTACACTACACTACACAACACTACACTACATTCCAATAGACTACACTACACTACACCATACTAACTACAACTACAACTACAACTACAACTGCAACTATACTACATTCACACTACGCTACACTACGCTACACTAATTACACTACACTACACTCCACTACGCTACACTACACTGAATGGCACTGCACTACACCTACAACTACAACAACAACAACAACCGCAACTGCAACTGCAACTGCGCTACATGACATTACACTACGCTAATGACATTACACGACGCTACACTACATTACACTGTATTACACTACATGACACTAACTACAACTACATAAGACTACACTACACTACACTAATTACATTACACTACTACACTGCGCCCCACTCCACTACACTACGCTACACCTCACTACACTACACTCCACCACACGGCAGTACACTACACTCAATTACACTACACTACACTACACCACGCGACACTACACTACACTACACTACATTAAATACAGCTACAGCTACAACTACAAATGCGCTACACTAATTGCACTACACTACACTACACTACACGACACTACACTACACAAGACACTACACTACACTACACACAACACTACAACACTACACCACACACACACACACACACACACACACACACACACACACACAACACACACACACACAACACACACACAACACACACACACACACACACACACACACACACACACAACACACACACACACACACACACAACACACACACACACACACACACAACACACACACACACAACACACACAACACACACACACACACACACACACACACAACACACACAACACACACAACACACACAACACACAACACACACACAACACACACAACACACACAACACACACACAACACACAACACATACACACAACACAGAACACAGAACACAGAACACAGAACACACAACACTACACAAAACACAACACAACACTACACAAAACACTACACAACACTACGCAACACTACACAACACTACACAACACTACATAACACCACACAACCCGACACAACACTACACAACACTACACAACACTACACAACACCACACAACACTACACAACACTACACAAGACAATACTACACAACACTACACAGCAGTATACAACACTACACTACGCTACACTACACTGCACTACACGACGCGACACGACACGACACGACACCACACCACACCACACTACACTCAATTACACTACACGTCACTACCCTACCCCACATTACATTACATTACATCACATTACACTACATTACATTACATAACATAACATTACATTACATTACATTACATTACACTACACCCATTACACCACCACAAATGCAACTGCAACTACACTACACTAATTACACTACACCACAACTACAACTCCACGACGCTACAACTACAACTACAGCTGCACGACACCACGCTACATCCAGCAGTTGTGGGTGAGGTGACCGACCAGGTGACCACTGCAACCATTGCAGCCACTCCAAAAAACACAGCTCCAACCACCTTTCGGTCCATCAGTGGATTCGCGCTGCCATCCGTGATTCACAACAACCAATCTCTCCTATAGGTTTCCTATTTTTGAAACTTCCGCCACCGCCTTGTGCGGTACTACTCGTAATAATAATTGCGAAAACCTCAGCAGGCTACTCTTTGCTTGTGTTGAAGCCACCTATCTTGTGGGAAAGCTGCGGCGAAAGAGACTTTAACAGACAATTTGCATTGCCTTTTAAAATGCATCTTGCCGGTAGTCACTGATGACCCTCCGGCTGACAATGCATCATTGCAAGAACTCATCTGAGGAATTGTGGGAGAGAAAAGCAAGAGAAAACATGCTAACATGCTTCACTCAAAGTCAGAGAGAGCTTAATTCATGCCCTGGTTTCGGCATGAACCTTGTGGGCCTATTGAACTTACCAAGTAAGCACTCCTCGATTGTCTTTGGAAACCTTGAGGAGATCACATGCGCACAAAGTCCCAGAATCGAAAGGGTGGCTTTAGTCGTCCCAACAGCCTTGTTGCAAATTGCAATGGCGTTGGCGGGTGCTGGCACCGCAATAGGCTGAAACATTTTTATGTTAAGTGTTTGAGGTGTTGCACAGCCAGCGGTGTGCAGGTTCAAATGTGAATGGTTTCATGCCTATACACCACTTTGCGGACATGCAGCCTGAGCCTGATGCCACACTGCTGGGCTGGATGCTGAGGCTTAGCCAGTGTGTCATATTATGCATATGTCAGATGTCATTTAAGTGCTGCACGGATCCAACATATTGACGATCAAGTTTGAATGGTTCTAAGTCCACACGACAAAGTAGGTGATCCTATCAGCGGCATTTGAGGTCAGGGGTTCATCCCGCCGGATTTCAATACGTCTTGAGCTCGGCACTAACAAATAAAATGAGGATCAGATGTGAGCGACTAATTTGCTTTCCTGATATCCTTCCAGGCTCACCATTTCCCACAGGAAACTCCCCCATAGACTCAGGGTTGGCAGATTTTGGCAGGCTAGAATCAAAGCGTGCACGTGTTTTCAAGCATGTGCATACGAACGTTCTTCTCCACCCAGGAACTCTAAACTACGCCGACTACATCACATTGCTCCGCGTTGCAAATTTACAAGAGTGCAGCAGCACATTGATGCACAAGCAGATGCCTGCAAACAGAGTTCAATGAAATTGGAATTCGTACAACCTATACGCACGCGTGAATGCTTGCATGCCCACATGTATGTACAGACAGACAGACAGGCAGGCAGGCAGACAGGCAGGCAGGCAAGCTGGCAGGCAGGCAGGCACGCAGGCAGACAGACAGACACGCACACACACACAGACACGTCTGCTACAATTGCAATGTTAATCATCACCCATGCATATATTCAAGAAACAGTGCACATGTGCGTCCATATGCATCTGTAAATGCACGTGCGCACACAAACCCAAAGAAGTATTGGCACCTGCAAAGAGGTCATTTACCTGTCATTTCTGTGCAGGGGACGACTCAGGATGCTCCTGGCCAGATTGGCTAAACAGGCGCATGGCCACCACCTTTTCCTTGATTTTCCTGTCATTATATAGTCGGAGACTTCCACAGTATGTTATAGTGTCAATATTTCTGTATTATTATGTATTTCGCAGCGTTTGAATGGTACCTGCATCGCTGTGGCACTTGCGCATGACTCGGCCAGACCGAGAACATGGAGAGAGCGGCGAACTGGGGCGAACAGGTCTGCAGCCTGTGAACTGTCGGCGTGGACTGCATTGTGCAGAGAAGCCGTTTGTCAAGGCCCTGGTAACAGCTGGAGCTTCTGCGGAGCAGGCTGCCTGCGGACTTACATATTAGCCCGTTGAGAGCAAGCGACCCTTCATGTACATGTGCTGTCCGAAATCTAACTCTGGATTTGCCAGTCTTGAAAATTGAAAGTCTGATAGAGTACCAACTAATGCCCAAAAGGTGCACGCGCTGTGCTGTTTTGCATGAAGGCAGCCCGACACGCTGATCGGGCCTACCGATTGCCGATGGGAGCCGGACGCCTCAGAAGCATAGCTTTAGCTCATTGCTTTTGAATGCTTTGGACATTTTTGACCTCCTGGCTTTTTTGTTTCAGGTATTTCTGATGAAGCGTTGTTTTTTGCTTCTACTGCGCCAACTTCGCCTCTTTATTCACCTTAGGCCTTCTCTCATTCTTCGTTTTCTGTTGCCTCTTCATTTCATCCTGGTTTGATCCGAGTATTGTGATGAATTTTTGTTTGAGACTCTTCTCCTCTCATTACGATTACCTCACACTCGTACTTCTGAGTTGACTCTGCATCACTACCGTCAGTGTGGCCCGCCGAGAATGCACATCTTGTAAATATATAATATATACTGTAAATGAATCAGCACATGACATGAATAAACAAAGATATTGAGATAATCATGTTAGAATCATATCGGCATATGCGACAATTAATGCAACGCCCTGCTGCTGTAGTGTGCTGTGCTGTGTTGTCGTGTCGTGATCGTGTCGTTCAATGTCACGCAGGGCCTCAGTCTTTGCTCGCCTGCTTGCTTTCTTGTTTGCTTGCTCACTCGCTGGCTTGCTGCTCTCCTCTCTACTCGTACTCGGGTGCCATGAGCATGCGTGTCTTAATGTTTGAAGGTAGACGGACACAGCACATCAAACAAAGTAGAGAGAGAGAACTTCATCGACGTGACTCCTTGGAGACTATTTGGGCGCCACAGGATGTATGAGTGAGCGGTTTCTGTTTCTTTGATTAAATAGTTTCTTTGTGTTCTATGATGTTTTATTTGATTTCCCGTTCGGCGGAGAATGCCGAGGAGCCAGGAACAGAAGCCATGGGCGAGTTCGAAGGCTTCTTTCCTCCAAGGCTGGCGGCTTGGGGTCATAGATATTCATAGATTGAGGTGGATATATAGGTGTAAGTTTCATTAAGTTTCAATGTATTTCAGGTGTTGATTGTTTTGATGGGTAAAACATGTCATTAACAATTGTCACTGCACCTGCGGAGGTGGTGGGCTACCTGGGGCAGAACGGCTATGGGCAGCTGCGAGCATCTTTTGCCGGCTGTGTGTGCGCGATCCTTAGGCTGACATCAATTGACACCATTTGACCCAGCAGGAAGTTTAAAAGGAAGTGGTTGTCCTATGTTGTCCTATGTTGTCCTATGTTGTCCTGCAGTTGGCAAACTGGGGCGGGGCGGGCGAGCTTTGGTGACTAGTACAAAAAAAGCCATCAAAGCTTTGACCTAAAGTATAGCATAGATAGCGTAGTATCGCAGATGAATTGCAGATGATAGGAGCCTTGTGCTGGACATGCATCCTTCTGGTATGGTGGCAAGCGCAATAGTGCCGTGCAACCGTAGCAACATGTACTGGCAGCAACTATGTCTCGAATTGTTCCGACACTGTTTCAGAACTAGTAAACAAATAATATAAATAAATAAATAAATAAATAAATATATATATATGTATATGTATATATATATATAATTATATATATATAGCGTATAATCGAAGGAAGTTTAGAAGTCAAACTTCCGACAATATGGACAGATGGAAAAGCAGAGGTGGGAAGAGTCAGAGAAGAAAAGAGAAGAAGAGAGAAGATCAGAGAAGAGGAAGAATCAGAAGAAAGAAGATGCAGGTGCGCGGAAAGGTAGAAAAGTCGCGACTCACTATGTTTTTTTTTGTGGCTCTGGAGGGTCGAAAAGTAGGCTCGCTAAAGCGGCGGGTGCGGAGCCATCTGACCAGATGAGAGATGAAAAATTGCACGCCGTTGTGGCGCGAAGCACATTTCGAAGTCAAAATGTGCAAAGCCAGGTTCGGAGCACTGTTGGAGGTTGAGATGTCGAAAAAGTGCACGCCGTTGTGGCGCGAAGCACATTTCCAAGTCAAAATGTACAAAACACACCATTCTCGGACCACTTTTGGAAGTTCAGATGTCGAAAAAGTGACGCCGTTGTGGCGCGAAGCACGTTTCGAAGTCAAAATGTGCAAAGCCAGGTTCGGAGCACTGTTGGAGGTTGAGATGTCGAAAAAGTGCACGCCGTTGTGGCACGAAGCACATTTCGAGGTCAAAATGTACAAAACCCACTATGCTTGGAGCACTTTTGGTAATTGAGATGTCGAGAAAGTGCAAGCCGTTGTGGCATGAAGCACATGTCGAAATCAAAATGTACAAAACCCACCGGAGCACTTTTGGAAGTTGACATGTCGAAAAAGTGCGCGCCGTTGTGGTGCGAAGCATATTTCCAAGTCAACATGTTAAAAGCACCAGGTGCCCGGACCACTTTTGAAGGTTCAGTTTTGCCTGGCAGGTGCAAGGGATTTTGCACCTTGCCGAGAGTGAGCAAAACGTGAGGGTTTCGTAACATTTCCAAAAACGATGGCAGCCGTGGGGCATTTGAAGAGGATCTGGAAAGATGGATTTCGCGTGGCAGGTGCAGTACAAAAGACATGTTCATCAGAGATGTTGGGAGGTCAGGGCGCTGATTTCCTGAGAAGGGTTGCATTTTGGAGCATCAGACCGTCAGGTTTGCTAAGATGATTTTGCGCGACAGGTGCAGCACCTCGTATGACCTGGCTTCAGCGCAGTACTTTAGACAGATGGAATGGAAAAATCGCGAGACTCATTGGCACGAGGCCATCAGCTCTGCACTCAATTTTCCATTATCAAAGGAAGTCTCGCAGAATTGCTTCGTTTTTGATGTTGCCAACTTCAAAAATTGAGGAATTCTCGCAGAATTGCTTTGTTTTTGACGTTATCAAGTTCAAAAGTTAGGGAAGTCTCGCAGAATTGCTTCGTTTTTAACGTTGTCAAGTTCAAAAACTGAGGAAGTCTCGCAGAAGAGCTTCGTTTTCAAGCTTGCAGATAAACAGATAGATAGTAGATAAATAGACAACTACAAGTACAATTGCAACTACAACTACAACTAGCACTACGCTACACCACAGCTACAACTACAAATGCAAATATACCACGCTACATTACACTACACAGACTGCACTACAACTACAACAGCAACTACTACTACCACTACAATTGCAACTACCTACGCTACATTACACTACACTACACTAATTACACTGCAGCACACAACAACTACAAATACAAATGCAACAGCAACTACAATACATTACGCAACACTGCGCTACACTAATTGCATTACATTACGCTACAACTACAACTACAACCGCAACTACAACTACCACTGCGTTGCACTACACTGCACTACACTAATTACACTACACCACACTACAACTACGATTCATTACTTTACATTAGACTAGACTACACTACACCACAACTACAGCCACAGCACGCTACACTACACTACATTACACTGCGCTAATTACACCACACCACAATTACAACTGCAACTACAACTGCGCTACGGTAGATGCACACACTACAGCTACAACTCCACGACGCCACACTACAACTACAAGTGCGCTGCGCCACACTACATCCAGGAGTTGTGGGTGAGGTGACCACTGCAACCATTGCAGCCACTCCAAAAAACACAGCTCCAACCACCTTTCGGTCCATCAGTGGATTCGCTCCGCCATCCATGCATCACAACAACTTACCTCTCCTATAGTGTCCTATCCTTGAAACTTCCGCCACCGCCTTGTGCGGCACTTGTGGTATAAATATAAATGTAATGCATATTTGCACGCGCACACATAATATATGTATATGTATATATATATGTATATATCGAGAGAGAGTGTGTGCGTGTGTTCGGACAAATAGATGCCATCTGTCTCCCCAATGTGTTTTGGAGTCAGGCATTGGCATTGGTGCATGCAGAGACGCAAAGGTCAAGAAGGCCCAACAATGGTCCCAATGGGACGGAGATTCGTTAACGCACAGTCCTGTGGATTTCCAACCCATGCCTTTTTTGTTGAGTCAGTTTGAATCAGTTTGACATCCTCCGGGTAGTTGATGGAACATGATGGAACCTGGCCAAGCAGCAGAACTCCTTGGCCTTAGGACTCCATTTTGTATGGTTGCTTGTCGCGGTAGGCCTTCGCGAATGGTAAGGATTGATGTCCGAGGCGTGTTTTTGGCGACCATTATGGGTTCATTTGGGTTCAATGCTCTAGTATGCCTTGGTACTTTGTGCAACACTTTAGTGATCCCTTGGACCAAAAACTGTGCACTTATGTTCGCCGATTACTTCGCCCGTGCTGAAGGTGGCTTCCTTTGATTGGACAGGTTAGCGTGCTTCAGCAATGTAACGGGAGAAAATCTGCTTCGACAGAAATGCTACTGGCTTCCAGGGCAAAGGTCTTACGACTGCTACGCAGTCAGACCGGATTGTTGATGATTTCTGTGCTCCAGGAGATCCTTGCGATGTTCGGATTGTCCAAAACCGTGGTTCCGGGGAGCAGTATGTATGTGCGCTGCATTCCTCCCCATTTGGCTCAGGGTTTAGGTTGTGTTTCTCGGACTGCAAGGGGCTGTGACACTGGCACTAAGAGCTTGGAGGGTTCTGCACTTGAGTCATCCAATGGTCCAGCAGCAGACACAGACAGCTTACACATATGCTGGCTGTCAGAAAAGTTGTTTCTTCCAAAAGTCCAGAGGCAGTTCCAACACTGACACTAGCCGCATCAGCGCATCAGCAGTTGTAACAGTTGTAGCATATTGCAACTAAACATTCCAATACGGCACGGACATATTGGCCACAAGAAGAACAATCTGTTCGCAGACCGTCCGAACTTTACCAAAGCTCATTGTGAATAGCTGAAATAGCATCGTTTGCGTTGTGCCATCCTGCCGCCACCTATCGGGTACCTGACCTAAGTGCAGAGGCTTGTGAATAGTTCAGGTGCATCGATGTCGCCTTGCCAACAAACCGCTGAAATTGAAGGACATTTTGATGCCTGTGCGCCGCAGCCACATTTCCCAAGTTGACACGCTCGCAGTGTTTGGTAAGCCTGTGCCAATGGCGGGTTCTGGCAAGGAGCGTAAGCTGGAAGTAGCTACTTTCTCCATGGGATTCTTGTCTGATTTTGCGGTGTTTTTGTTTCTTAATTGTACTCGACATTTACTCGACCAGACTTCGCAAGTTGGTCTTTGTTTTTTCGTGGGCGCTGGCGCGGATTGCACTGCAAGTCTGGTTTGGCCCTTTGTGCTTATGGCAAAACATGTGCTGCAGTCAATCGACCAATTGAATCCAAGTGATGCATTTTTGCTTTGCAAGGATGATTCTGGACACCACAACGCTTGTTTGCTCAAACCTCTGGCGTTCATCGAGCGACTGCTGGATACACAGGCGGAAGGTGAGGGTCCCAAAGAAATCAAGGAACCCTTTTTCCCTTGGCCGAAGCGTGATGAAAGAAACTTCTTGAGCTCTTCAATGATTCTTTTCATTTGTTTCCGCTGACCGCTGGCCTGAATCAAAAGGTCAGCGAAGCCAACATACCGGTCTGTTTGTAGTGGTGATGGAGACTTGGAGCTGTAATGAGCTGCATGTATTTGTATGTAGCATCATGTAGCAATTTCAGATAGTGCAGGTTCTGGAATTTGGGTCAGGCATTTGCCTGGCACAGCGTTCGGGAGGCATCATGATCCTGCTGCCACCAGCTAAGGACATGCAGAGTCAGTACGCGTTGAATACGACCCTTCTGTTGTTTCATATGAGGAGATGCACGTTGGCAACAAGAATCATCAAATTTTTGCTCTTTCTCATTCGAAACGTTTGGAGACGCTCGAGTCAGTTCCATTACTGTAATGATTATATTATATTCTGCATGCCGGTGTACGCATTGTTATGCTTGCATTTGTACCGTACATTCATATGCCATGCATGTCACGCACGTCATGTATGTGATGATCTCCTTGTATTCACGTATAAGAATGTATAAGATAATTTTTGTAATGTATATACACGGGTATGTATATATATATATATATGTATATATATATATTCTTTGGAGTACTGAATCATGCTGCCCGCAATTACATCTTCTTGTGTTGTATCCTTATCTCATGTATGTAGCCCATGTAGCCGATGCAACCCTCGCACAGGATATATAGCGGTCTGGATTTAAGACAGTCTGCACGCAGATTTTAAAGACGTGGTCACTATGATTCACTATGACTCATGACCATCCATGACCTATGCATGCAGCCACCCGATTTTAGTATAGTATTTTTAGTATTTGTGTGTACTGTACATATATACATTTATGTACGTATATTTTTTTTTGGTTGACAAGTATGGGTCGGCACGCATATGGTTCTGGGAATGTGTATGGAATGCCGGTAAAGTACATAATGCAGAATGCAGTGAATAGCATTATCAAGATTTAAGAAAGGGTACTTAACGTATGGCACTGTCATGTGAGGCAGAGGCTGTAATTATTGCAAGGCACCACAAGGCACTGCAAAGTAGTAGTCTTGTGATATGATGAGCAATATCGAACTCTTGCAATGCATGTGACTTTTGCAGCTGGGTGCTTTTCAGGAGTTGCTGCTTCTGTTTTGGAAAAACCACCGGCCAAAGCCAAGCGAGAGAGGCGCGAAGTCTCAATGTCAATGATATACATCGATGGACGTTTTTCTAGCTTTCTAGCGGCGTGAATGACAGCAGCACAGTTGTGTATATGCGTAGGCCAGTATAGATCATGCATTTGGTACCACAACGAAGCCCAGAGGCCTGGCAGTCTTGAAGATCTTGAAGTTTTACGAGCCTTCGAAAATGCAATTCAAATACAATTCAAATCAATTCAATATATTCAATTCCTTTGGGAAGAAGTTGTGTAGGACACCTTAAACACCAAGTAGACAAGGAGGATTGTTATCAGATTGTCAAGGGGAGCTGGCTGGTCAAAACCCTTTGACAAGAAGAACAGGAGAGAGTGTACTGTGCCTGCATGTCCTTCAAGGGGAGAAGGACCTGTGTGATTCACCCGCTGCATGCAGTCAAGCAACAGGGGCAGTATATCTGTAGTCTGTAGTGTTTTTCCCCACGGGGGGCAAGGAATTGGAATAAACTTTGTCAAGATTAAGAGCAATATAGATTAATGCTGAACTTGTTTGGGAATTAGGTATTGGGTGCTGCGCGTGGGAAACTGTAATCCATAGTAGGATTCAAAGTTCCTCATCTAGAGACCATGCCCCAACAAAGCCAGCAGTCTCCGCCTTGTGAAACCTGTAACGGACTGTAAGGCCTTCAAACACCTTGGCAGTGATTCGTCATTGACATAAAGGGGTGTGATATATAATTATATATATATAATTATATGTATATATATATGTATATGTAAGTGATATCATGATTTGATCACAAAAACTCTGGAAGGCACCCCGGAGCCGGCGAGATCCCCATTTCAAGAACTTTCAGCCCGCTGCACATGACACGATAAGTATAGCAAACAAGGGTTTAGGTGCCTGGTTCAGGAGGAATCTCATAGCTGGTTGAATGGGTCAGTGGTTCACATGGCGGGTTTCTTTGCCAGACAAAGTGCTCAAGAAAGCCTTCCTGCTTCCTCCTCAAGCACTCAAGTGGCACCGGCCACAGATTTTCATGAGGCCGAGGTCCACCATCAGAGACTTGGCTCAAAGAATATATATATATATATTTGAGATGTGGAGCAGCTATGAGCAGCTCAGAGCAGTCGTAGGAACTCTTTCTTTACCTGTCGTTTGTGGTTGATTACACTAGTCTACTGTGAGCGCAGACAGCTAGAGAGTCTTTTGTGGTTGATCGACTCGCTGATATCCTGTATTTGACGTCAAGGAAGGCTTCAACGGGACAAAGAAAAGTGGAAGCGGGTGAGCAGCTTTGCGTGCCTTGGCATCATTTCAGTGAGTCAGAAATTACTATTATAAAGAATACCCTGGGGTTGACACAGACACACACACACAGATATAAAAACACGCACACGCACACACACACATATATATATATGTGTATATATATATGCACTTATAGTATTTAATAGTATTTATACATAGACATATAATATAATACTTATGTTGTATATATATATCTCTCTCTCTCTCTCTCCTCTCTCTCTCCCTCTCTCTCTCTCTGAGATAATACACATAAAGATATTATACTGTACATATCGCATTTTCAAAGTCAACTCACATTATGATTTACTTTATTTTTCTGTCGCAGACCGCTGCAGGTTACCCAGTAACACAGCGGATGATGCTCAAGATCGTATGGCCAGGTTTCCAGGCGAGAAGCGCACAGATCACGCCATATGTTTACAAAATTTTACAAATGCATGCAACTGCTGCAGTCAATGACCAGCGATGCTCGCAGCGTATGTCGAGATTGCATCGGCTGAATTGCCTCGAGGACATGATCTCAGGCTGATATGCCTGTGGCGCAGAGCAGTTCCCACGTCGCCACGTGTGTTATGTCACGTGAATAGCCAAACTCTGGAACTTGCAATCTGGCATTGCTTCGTGCAGAAAGTCACGCCAAAGTGCTCCTCTGTGCTGGTGTAGTCAGACTTGTGAGGAAAGATGGAGGATTCGTGTCGACGGCTGGCATGGCTTGAAAGCGATGCTTAGAAAAGTGTCAAGAGCTGCTTGTTGGCTGTGCGTGATTGACAAATGAGAGGAGATGTTCTCGCAGCTGAAGACGTGTCCCCACTCTGGGACACTGTTTCTGAGGAGCAACGGGCATGCCGATCAAAGGTGTCTGGTGCTCAGTTTCAGGCATTTTCGATGCTCAGATATGTTCAGCAACTCTGCCTTGCACCTACAGGGCCCTGCTGATTTGTCAACTTGTCGTGGTGCATGGTACTCGGAGCTACAAGCTATCACCGTTTCATTTCTGTGATGGGAGCAGCCGCATACGCCACTTTTTCGCCCTTCCCCTCTTCCCCATTGCGTGCATCAACTAGTGAGCTCTTCACCTTCGTTTTGCGCCCTTGCCTCACATTATTTGTGACAAAATCAGCCCAAACCCATCGCAAGAGTTCGTAGGTCAGGTTGGGACTGGCACCTGCTTCGAGCATCATTTGTATCGCGTTTTCTTGTTCTTTTCCAGGTCAATTTTGAGCTGCTAGGCGATGAGCATCTATCAGATCACATGATATCCACATGATATCCACATGATATCCGCATTCCACATCTATCGTTCTATCATGTTCTATCTTTCATCTGTTCTCATCTGTTCTCCACATTCCATTCAGCGGTCGCAGGTGGAGCTGGAGGTTGTTGAGGGCATCACAGAGCACTCCAGTCGGGTAGCACTGAAAGGTGCCCAGGGAAGGAAGGGA